TTGTTCCTAGCTTTTCTGTAATGAATTTCATAGTCCTTGGTTTTAGTCCTAGGTCCATGATCCACCTTGAGTTGGTTTTTGTGTATGGAGTGAGCAGGTTGATGGTTTGAACCCACTCAGCAGCTTCAAAGAAGGAAAGACCTGGTTGGTGATCTGTTCCCATCAAGATTCCAGCCAATTCTGTGCTGTCAGGTGGAGTCCTGTGACTCAGAGTCAACCCAGAGGCAATGGGCTTTGGTTTGGGGTTATTTGTTCTGTTAGTGCCCCCCCCCATTTCTTCATTCACATTGTGTTTCATACAATCATTCCTATATATTGCGTTTTATACAGTTAATCACCATTGATCTATGCTCGCAATTACTTCATCTCTCAGGTTTCCACTGGTTCTTTCTTAATTCCTTCACCCCCTCTCTATGCCAACCAAACTCACCACCAAAATCACTAGGAAATGTGATTTCTCCCCTCCCCACACTCTACCCCTGGCCTTTCTCCTTCCCCCTTTGAACTTATATCTTACTAGTTGTCTTTCTGTTTTAGTTGTATGTAGTTTTTCTCCTTTTCACTCAGCTTAATGATCTCTAGATTCTCCCAAATTATTGCTCCTTAGTGCTGCGTAGCATTCCGTTATGTGAATGTACCATAACTTCTCAATCTATCCGTATGTTGATGGGCATTTGGGCTGTTTCCATTTTCTTGCTATTGTGAATAATGCTGCTATGAACATAGATGTACAATGGGCTTTGTTTTAAAATCAGACCAAATAGCACAAAATATTGAGACAGTGTTAAACACTCTGCTGTTAACCAAAAAGTTATCAGATCAAACTCACCTACTAACACCCAGAGATCTGCCTGTCCACTTCCATAAAGGAAATATTACTGCCTAGAAAACTCTAGATAATCTCCTTCCATCCAATATATTGCCTCTGAAAACCCACTGAAGGGTCAGTTCTAGGTTGGTTCTGACTCAATGGTACATAATAACAAGAAGAAAATTATAGACAGCAGTTCCATTCTGATCTACCAGGCAGCTGCCATTTGGTTCCACGCGAGAACGTCATGGACATTCTCCTGTGAGATTTACAGCCTCCAAACCCTCATTGCTATGAGATGATGGCAATGAGTTGTGTAACAGGAACTATTTTAAGAACTTGTGTGTGTTAATACGCTTACCTGGGTGGAACAAACGGTTAATGCACTTGACTGTTAACAGCAAGGTCGTAGGTTTGAGTCCACCCAGAGGTGCATTCAAAGAAAGGCTTGACAATCTACTTCGGGAAAATCTAAACCCAAACCAAATCAATGTTGTTGAGCCAGGTCCCACTCGTGGCGGCCTTCCATCGAGCTTCCGAGGGGAAGAGACTACCCTTCTTTCTCCCGTGGATTCGCGAGTGGACGCGAACTGCTGACCTTTGGTGAAGGGTCTACTCTTTACATAAAGGAGCCACGTGGCTCCTGAAAAACCTGAGTCCTTGAAAACTCGTCAGCGCGCCGCTCTGCTCCGACCACATGAGGGCGCCATACACCGCGTTCCAATGGCCACTGGTCGGTCCGCCGCCGCTGCGATAACCAAGCGCTGGGACATCAAGTGCCAAGTGGTTTGACCTGCGTGACCTTCCTCTGGGACATCAAGGACAACTCTCTGGGGGAAACAGGGAAACAATGACTTAAAAATGAGAATGGGGAGGGGGCGGATGAGAATGGCTCCCAAAACATCTGTGGCTCCAAAGCTGAGTCAATAATTCTCTGAAACTGGTTTTTGTTAAGTTGGCACCTGACCCCAGACTGTCCGCCCATGTTTGTTCATTACACAAGCCCAGTGGCTGAAGGCCGTGAGGTCGGCACTGCACACAGACAGACCCTCCTGTCCAGCACACAAACCCACACGAACAGCCAGTCGGTCCCCTCACCCTGTCCAAAGGGGAGCTAGCCACCCCCCTGCCTCCAGCTGACCAAGGACGATGGATATGGATCAGGTCAACTCCATGGACTTTGTGGACTTCGTGGACATGTTTGGGAATGTCATTGAGAGGTGTCCTCTGATAGCAGCTGCTGTGTGGTCTCAGCGTCCATTCCATGACCTGGAGGACTTGGAGAAGCATTTCTGTGCCTTTATCGATGCACTTCCACAGGCAGGTAAGGTTTCGTTGGGTTCAAGATGATCAAAATGGTTTGACCTTCCGGCTCAGCTTTCAGGCAAAACTACATAGGCCTCTAAGGTGATCAATAACATCAGGGAGGCGCTCACGCCTTAAAATAATCAGCCACATGAGACCAAAAGGTAACATTTGCCCAGGAATGAAGCTCAGAAGGCAGGAAGGGGTAGGATAGAAGGATTAGTGGAAATGGGACTCAAAAGGTACAAGGGAAGAGTGCTGTCACAGTGAACGGATTATAACCAGTGTGAACTAAGTGTGTATGAATGGTTGAATGGAAGACTCATTTGCCCTCTACACTTTCACCCAAATCAGAAAGACTACAAAATTTGATTTGTTAGTTCAGTCTGATTGCTTACCACCGGACTCCATGGGATTTCCAAGGTGGTAAATCCTTACAAGAGGAGACTGCCCGTCTCCCTCTAACTGGCCCCCCTTCAGTCCAAGCTATTGATGGACCTCTTGGTAAGCAGCACAGTGTAGAATGCACTGCCAGTGCTCTTTTGATGGACAGGAAAACCAACCTGCAAAACCTTTGGAAGTCAGGCACTTGGCAGGGAAGGGAAAAATTCAAATATTTTCCACTGTCAGAGGCAGAAAACTCAAAGGACTTAGAAAAGCAAGGAAAGTTGGACAGTGACTAAGGATGGCAGAAGAAGAATCTGTATCTTTGAGTTGTGGTGTTGAGGAGAGAACTATCCCACGCGTTGTCTCGGAGGAAAGGCAGCCAGGGAAAGCCTTAGAGGCGAGGGTGGTGGGGCTTCATCTCACGTACTTTGGGCATGTTGTCAGGAGGGAATAATCTTTGGAAAAAGCCATCATGCTGGGAAAGGTCAGTGATGAGAGGAAGAGCCTCAACCAGATGGATTGACCCATGACTGTGCGTGAGCGTGGCAGGGATCATGATGACGATGGTGCCAGGCAGGCCGAGGTCCAGGCCTGTAGGGTCGCTGTGGGTCATTGTGACTCAATGGCACCTAACAACAACACTGCCCCAACGTTCTGGCTCTCCCAGGTTTTGATTATTTCGTTATCTATGTTGTGATAAGGAGTCTGGTGGTGGGGTAGCTAAAATGGCTGCTAACTGAAAAGTCAGCAGTTCAAACCCGTGTGCTGCTAGAAGGGAAGAAAAAAAGAGGCTGAGCTAGAGATTACAGTTCTGGAATCCCCCTGGGGCGGTCTGCCCTGTCAGGCAGGGTCCCTGTGGGACTGAATCAGCATGAAGACAGTGAGGGGCTGTGAGCCTTGGTGAGTTTTTCCAAGCTCTGTGACAGTCAAGCTCTTGTATGGGGTGAGATCAAACTGGAACGAACTGAAGCATGAGGGCGGAAGTGAGGACGGGGGTAAGGGGGGCTGTTACGTACGACAGCTTCCAAGTCACCTGACAGTGGTGGGGTGAGGCGGGAGTGCTTCTCAGATTAGGCACTAATGACTTCACTCACTACCACTCAGAGTCCAGAAGCCCACCTCTCTCGGCCCCCCAGTGGAATGCCCTATTTGAGGGGTTCTGGCCACATAATGTGTAATATGTTTGACCACAAGCCAAAAGGTTGGTGGTTTGAATCCACCAAGTGCTCCTCAGGAGAAAGATGTCCAATAACAGCCTCCGAAACCCAATAAGGGTGAGGGGTTCTCCATGAGCTGCAGTCACACCCGTGGGGCTGGGCTTGGGGTATTTTGTGCACTAGGGACTGGAGGGCAGTGGGTCTGGTTTTTTTGATATGAAGGGAGGAGACGGCCAGTATCTCTCTATCTGTGGAGCCCAGGGGACATGGCTGCTGAGCCTTTGGAGTCAGCTGGTCTGCACTGGGCTGTGTAGGCAGCTGCCTGGGGGGTGAGGGGAGAGATGAGAGTCTAAAGGTCACCTTCGGAGAAAGGGGACAGGTGAGATGACCTGGTGGGTGGATGGAGACAACCAGGCTTCCCCGGGTGTGAGTTTAGGGAGACACACCCAAGTGGCTCTGGATGACACACACTACATCACCTCGAAAGGCCAAGTCAGGCGGCCTCATCGCAGTCCTTGATAAGGCAACTCCTTATCAAGTGGGGACAGGCCTGCAGTGTCAGAGGTAGAGGGTGACGGTGATGGTGACGGTGATGGTGACGGTGATGGTGACGGTGATGGTGAGGCTCCCCTTATGTTGCACTTCTAACCAAAAGATTAAAAGTTCAAATCCCCCCACCAGCCACTCCTCAAGAGAGATAGGCAATCTCCTCCCATTAAGCCAGGCACAGGCACACTCTGTGTCCTGAATGCCATTGGAATCAACCTGACAGCACACAACAGCACCCCCTTTATATCTTGAGATCAGTAAGAAAAGATGTTTTCTTTGTGCCTGTTGGTGCAGTGGTTAAGCTGTCAGCAGATTACTGCAAGGTTGGTGGTTCAAACTGAGAGGGATGAGGCGGTGACTTCCGCAGAGATGACAGGCCTGGAAATGCTCTGAGGCAGTTTCACCCTGTCCTGCAGGGTCACCGTGTTAGAATCTACTGCCCAACAACGGGTTTTGTTTTGCTCTCTGAGATTCCCAGAGTGGTGCAAATAGTTAATGTGCTTAGCTGTTGGCCAAAAGATTGGAAGTTCAAAGGCCACAAAAAAAGCCTGGTGATCTGCTTTCAAAACCAGCCGCACCCTGAACTTACAAGGGCCTGGTGATCCAGTCAACTCCCAAGCTGCTGGCCGGTAGTTCTGTTCCATGACAGAACCAGCCAACCAAATATGGATGCCGGAAAAATCTCTCCAAGAAGGAAATCTTTTTTATTTCTTTTAAGCACATCTGCAAAGAGTCGAGAAATACAACTGATTTCTATCATTCACATTGTGTTTCATATGACCTTTCCATTGTGTGTTATAAAATTAATCACCATTGATCTGTGCCCATTATTGCTCTTTTTATATGATATCAAACAGACACAAACCCTGGGTAAATGCTGGCACATTTTGCAGGGTCTCGCCAGAGCTGAAGGAGACCTGGTGGCATAGTGGTAAAGTGCCGAGCTGTACCCAGGAGGCCACCTGTTCAAATCTACCAGCTCTCCATCTGGGAGAATGGTAGACAGGGTAGTCTGCTCTGTAAAGATGACAGCCTTCAAAACACTATGGGCAGTTCAACTCCATTCTACCAGGTTGCTACGGAGTTTGTTGTGGGGGGTTTTAGTTCGTTTTATCTAAATTTTTAAATTTTATATTGGTTTGCATACGAAATTCATATACATTGTGTTTCCTTCACATACAGTTTGTTTCACACATTTCCTTCATTCACATTGTGTTTTATATGGCCGTTCCAATACATTGTGTTATAAAATTATCATTGATCTATGCCCATTATTACCCTTTTTTTTCAGGTCCCCACTGGATCTTTCCTAATTCTTTCACCTCCTCTCTCTGTTCATCAAACTCTAAGACCTCATGATTTACACACACACACACACACACACACACACACACACACCTTCAGCACCCCACCTCCTCCCCTTCCCCCTGTGCACTTTTGTACACATCTTATTAGTAATTCTTCTATTTTTACAATAATGGTCTTACGCAGTATGAATCCTTATAAGACTGAGTTAGTTCACTTAGCATAATGCTCTTTAGCCTCTCCCATGAGAAACTATGGTACATTCACACAATGGAATACTATGCAACAGTCAGGGACAACGATTTCATAAAATACATAACTCAGTCTTACCCCAACCCTGATGTCAGATCCATTCTACAACAGTGGCACCATACAATATTTGTCCCTTTGTGACTAAGATATTTCACTCAGCGTAATGTCCTCCAGGGTCACCGATTTTGAATAATATTGCATGAGTTCTTTGTTTTTCAATGTGGCATAGTATTCCATTGTGTGAATATACCGCAGCTTCTCTCTATCCATTCGTTTGTTGATGGGCACTTAGGTTGCTTCCAACTCTGAAACAGATGAGGGCAAGAACAGATTAGAGGTGATATATGATTGAGTATTGTGGTTAGCACTGGAGTCCAGAATTAAGGTTGCATATAGAAGTGTACGCGGTGCGAGGGCGCGGGGGAGGGGAGGGGAAGGGATGGGGGAATTATATACCAATGAAGGAATTTTTTTTTTCTTTTTCTTTTCAAAGAGAGGAGCGAACTGGTGGGGAGGGGTGAGCAGGGAGAAAAGTACAGCAATGAATGAATGGAAATCCAAAATCTCTATAAATGTTTATTAAAATTAAAAATAAAAACTATAAAAAATACTTGATATATGGCTTTGTTGAGCGCGGCAGCCCCTCTGCAGTTCAGGTAAGAGGAGGCAGGGGGAGCTGGCGCGCAAGACCTTTAACCGAGAGCTCTCAGGAACAGCCCAGCCGCACGCAGGAGCAAGGATCAATGAGCTGCATCCTGCCTGCAGACGAAAGCCTACCAAGCAAGAGGTCAGCCAAGCCCATGTTCAGACGTTTGCCGGAAGGACAGAGCAGCCAAAACGAAAGGCCTCTAGACCGGGGGGACGTGATTTTTAAGGGATGTGCATGACCTTTCCAGAGACCCGACCCTAAAAGGAAAAAAGAAAAAGAAGGAACAATGCCAGGATCTCTGTCAAACCCCGGGATGGTGGGCTGGAGAGGACGTTGAGATAATGCCAGCGAGCACGGAGAATTTAGGTCTGCTATTCATTTGTTTCTCCAATTATTCAACAAGTATTTATTTCCTATTCACTCTGTTTCAAGAATTTAGGTAATAAAAGAAAGCATCTCTCTGATTTCCAGCTTCTTTCCCATCAGGGAAGTTGCCCAACTTGTCTGACCAGCCTTTCTGTTGGTGGGGCTGTGACTCACTGTCACCTTATGCACAGCACCGAAGGCCTGCCTGGCCCCGCATTCGCATCATCCGCACAAGCTGAGGCCAATTCCTGTCACTGTCTTAACTGCAGTGGGATTGGGACACAACCGGGAATCTCTGTCTAGTCCCTCCCTCCTTCCCTGCAGTCCCTTCACGGACTCTCTCTGTTGGGATTC